TCTCTCTCTCTCTCTCTCTCTCTCTCTACTATACTATACTATACTTAACTGGCGATTAAAAGGGTACCACATTTTGATTTAGTAAAAATTATGGTCTTTTGAGTCTTTACGATTCTCCTTTCACTTGGGTTAAATCAAGTACTGTTTTTTAAGTAGGTCATGTTACGAAAACAAGTTATTGTTCTTCAACTAGTGTTCACGGCGTTCTCTTAAAAATATATATATATAAATTTAGCTATTCTATGCTGTTGGTATTTTAAAATGAAATTTAGGTGTGTGTTTATCAGAAGCCGCAACAACACTTGATCATTGACATCCAAAAAAGATAGCAGTTTAACTCAACATTAGAGAAATCGAGACATTAGTATACTCCTCACTTTTTGTTCCTGTTCCCATGACTTTCAACGTCAATAGAAAAACAGACGTTGAACAACCTGGCAACAGCGGAAATGCGCGAAGCGCGCCGATGACTCGATTTCTCTGATGTTGAGTTAAACCTACTGTTTACAGACAGACAGACAGACAGACAGACAGACAGACAGACAGACAGACACACAGACAGACAGAGACAGACAGAGAGACAGAAACAGAAACAGAGTCAGGGACAGAGACAGAGACAGGGACAGAGTCAGGGACAGAGACAGAGACAGAGACAGGACAGAGACAGAGAGAGGAGGCCACAGGAGTCCCTTACTTTCTTGGATCATTGAGGTCTGCTCCAGAAATGAGGCTTCTCTCAAGAGGCGCGAAGTCCCAGTCCACCTCCTCGGCCGCGATAAACACCTCACGAGTTGTTCCTGTAGTGCTGAAGGTCGTGGGGCTCTGACCACACAGCTGAACGTCATAGAACCCGAACATGCCGTTTTCCCTTGCCAAGTTCGAGTGAGACTCAACAACCCAGCGACCTTTTGGGAACAAAATAGAATTTTGGAATTACATCGTGGTGTTAACATTTTGGCCTAAGTCAAGATCTTTAGTTTTGAGATCTGCATACCAGGAAAAGACATTCTCATTTACTTGAAAATGGCTACTACTATGGCAATTTCACAAAACATCTCTCTCTCTCTCTCTCTCTCTCTCTCTCTCTCTCTCTCTCTCTCTCTCTCTCTCTCTCTCTCTTTCTCTCTCTCTCTCTCTCTCTCTCTCTGCCTGTTTGTCTAACAGCTATCTTCCC